TATCCTCATGAGCTGCCTTTTGCTGAGATAGGTTGTGATTGTGTGAAGACACATCAACACCTCAGAGACACACAAGACCCCAACAAATGTACGTGTTGGGGCAACAGCACCTCGCACAGACACACTCGCATTAAAACATTTCCAATCTGTCTTTTCTTTCTTTTTCTATCAACCTGAACAGCTATAGCAGCTGTAGGTTGTGTTATATGGAGAAATGGGGGAGCGGTAGTAATGGCGTGGCTCCTTGAGGAACCGTTTTGGCTGAAATGACTCACAGCATTATGGTGCATGAGCAGAGCTGCTGAGGCTGAGGTCTTGTCTACAGAATCGCTGCAGTGTGTGATGCGCCGCACAGCAATTTAACTGTCGATTAAGCTGTAAACACGGAGGATTCTGCTCCCTTTTAACTTCGCCCGGAGAGGTTACCTTTCGCCGGCGTTTGTTTGCACATCTGTGAGGGAGCATGATACTTAAAAATGCGTCCGTGACTTTAGAGAAATCGATACTGACAGCTTAAGCCACAACCCCCCCCCACGCCCCTGTGTAAAAGATATCTGAGAGCTGGTCTATCTGACACTGCACAGTGATTGGATTTTTTTTTTTCAGCATTACACTCCTTCAAATTTTGCTTTTTAAGAAGTCCTGAATCACAAAAAAACAAATAGAAACCATCTCACTGAACTGGAAATCTTTTTTCTTCTCTCATAACGCACAATTTCATTACCCTGGTGTCTCTGTCGAGCTTGTACATAAAAATGTGTATTATCTGTTATCTGTTTGCCAGAACAGTATCATCCTACTTACACACGTGGTCGTGGTGTTAATATTTTGAAAATATATTTAATACCTGGAGACCAAACCATTTTTAAACCAATGTAAATTATTTTGAGAATCTAGAGATGAACATGAATACTTATCATGAAGAACATTACACCATGTGTTATATCAGGGAAAATAACAGCTGTGTTGTTTTCCAAGTAGACAGCATGAAAGAAGGGTATTTTTCTTTTGCATTCACTCACAATCATGTGTCTCCATCACAGAACACTGACCATACAGTATATCTCCAAAGGATAATCTATTTAGAATTGGAATAACTCAATAATTTACTTATTTATTCCAAACATGAAATGTCCTACATGTGTTGAATGGAAGATAAAAGGTGGCTGAATAGTGGTTTTGATTAGCAGTTATTCTATACTTATAGAGTGGATTTTTAAGACTTCAATAGATTTTTTAAAAACACAACCATGAATACAGTTTGATGCCAACTACTTCATATATATTAAAGGATTTTTTTTCATTGACTAGGATTTCCTCTGACTGAGAGTATTTGCATGTGCTGGTTCACTGTATCAAAATAAAGCCAAATGCTTTTTAGCCATTTGCACCTGGTGGCTATCTCTTGCAGAATGCCCTGTACAAACCTTCAATCTGGGACACTGTATGTTTTCTGTTTGTGTAACTTCTTAGTTAACCATTTGCTGTTTAATCTCTCATATTTCTGTAAAGCAAGCTCTGTGATTCAGAATTTTGGGGCCATAGCCTGGGTATTTCGTGCGTTTTAACCTTAGTCTCATGGCATAAATATTTCAAGCAGCCCTTGAAGTTAGCTCTATCTTAGCAGAAGTCTTGGACAAAATCAGATTCCCTCTGCCCTGTACTGTCTCCGTGAGCATGCAGGCTTCGGTAGAATCTGTTAGACTAGTTGTCCTCTTTTTTCCCCTCCAAACTTATACCTGCCTTGTCTAAACTGATGTATTTTCAAAGCTTCACAAATTTTGAGTAGTTGGTGGCTAATGTTAAAATACTCAGAAAACGCAGCACTCCACTTTTTAATCTATGAAATAAAAATGATGGCTGATATGGTCTCTTTGCTCCAATTAAGTCATTTCTGGAAATCAGACATTGAGCTTTTAGATCCAATAGTCCAAGCAGGCAACATCGTGAATTTACATCAGAGTGCATTCAAAATGATTTTTATCTAAATTTCAAATTTGATTTAGAAAGGAGTTCCTACAGTGATCTTAAAAGTTACTTATTAATCATTGTGTCATAATTATCAAAGTGAAGATCATTAAAGATTATTTGAATTTGAGTGCACAATGTCTGCTCTCAACCCATTTTGATGCTAGAAAATGACAACAAGCTTTGTTCCAATAAGTTTGATGCCTTTGGTTTGACAATTTCTCACAAAACAGTCCAGAAAATGCAGCCATGCTAGAGGTCCAAAAAGTTTCTGAATGCTTTCTGGCTGCAGGCGACAGAAGAAAAGTTTTGTGCATCTTACCCAGAGGTGAATAGATGAAAACAGGCTCAAGAACTGAACATTTATGAGTTATATTTTGGATGTTTGTTTTTTACCATATCACTCAAAGTTCATGGTTATATAACACTACACCCTTTAAATTTAATGAACTAGAAAACATGAAAAGTCAGGCATGATTCTTTCATTACAGTCTCAATCCTCCTTAGAGAAGGTTCCATCTTTTGGGGGCTTGGTGGGAGGTGGATGTGGTTGGCTGTGGATGATGGTCTCAACTTGGACAGCTCATTATGATGGACTAAAATGTGGGCAGAAACTTTTTCATCTAGCATGCCAAAAACAATATATATCAAGACCGAAATAAACATTTTTTTTTCCTTCTAAAAAGAGAAAAATGACACCTACGTGTAAATGAGATGTAACAGCCGCGTGGAGTATATCTTAATTAATCTGAGCTCTGGTTTTGTTAAAACATAATAGCTGGGAATCAAAATGACTGCCATCCATCTGATGTTTTCTCAGTGGGAGTCGGATGCTGACTTAGGACTCCTTTTTAAAACAGATTTTTAATGCAATGATACAGGAAGCATTTCTATTGAACAGGGACTCCGATGAGCTGCAGGTTTTCCTAATGACAGGATGGACTCTGCTTACTCTGGGAGTGGGATCAATTACAGGAATCCTCTGTAGAAGTGGATTCAGTCTTTAAGAATCACATCTCTGATCGCTTAATAATACCAGTAAAGTCCACCAGTGTCACTGAGGATGGTGGTTTTAATAAAATGGGGGTGTAATTGCTCTGATTAGGTAGTTTCTCTCATGGAACACTTGGCAGTGGGGGGGTGAAGTGGTCGCCTGTAGGGCGGTGGCTGCGCAAGCATGTCCAGGGGCGGGACGGGGGGGGGGGTGTGGGTGTGAGACGGTGGAGGAGGACATCATCTCCCCTTTCAAAAAGCCCAACTTTGAGTTGGCGACGACATGATTTGCACCCCGCTGCGATGCATACCAACACTCAAGGAGAATGAGTCCTCTCACACACACACACACACACACAGACACACACCAGCATTCCCACACACACCACTCCGCTTATAGGACGGGAATCACACACACCAGGATGAGGACAAAACACCCCGAAACGCAGTCTTTGCCATATGGAGGACTTCCACTGGCATCTTGATTAAAAACGGTTGATTTGGGTTATTTTCTAGGGTTAGGGTTGAGACCACCGGGCACCACGGACACCAGCAGCCGGGCTCCGGTAGCCCCATTCCCCGCATGCCTTGTGTCAGCTCCGGGGGGGTAAAAAAAAAAAAAACCCGGAGAGGAGCAGGTAAACTGAACTGCAGCCCGCAGCCAAATTCCTCCGCAGTCTCCCCGTTTCCATCTGACACTTCCCAAGTTGCCACAGACACAGAAAAAAACTTGTGCAGCCGCATTCTGCTGCAAAATCCAACTTCCAGGCATGCATTCCGGCCACAGCCAACCGGACTCTATACCGGCCAACCGGACTCATCCAGCCGGCCACAGCCGCTGCGCAAACGCGCGTCATCCTGGAGGAAGAAAAAAAAAAACAACAACTCTCCGCGCTCACGTGCGCGCGGATCACACATGATCTCCACACTTCAGCCACATCCCCACACACACAACACACACACACACACACACACACACCACGCCCGTCTGTTCGGCATCACCCAGAGAGAGCTCACCTTTAAAGACGCTTGCACAGAGGCTGTAAAGGATGAAGATCAAGTGCAGCTTGACAATCATATTCTTCTCTTTTCCTCTCACAATCTTCACATCAACACTCCACTGACGTTTGGCTTTTCTTTCTGTCTGTCTCTCGCCACTGGCAGGATGGACTTATCCAGCTAAACGGCGCAGTTTCTGACTGAGTTGCATTGAAGAACTCTGTTTTTTTTTCTTTTTTCTCGCTCCCTGTGCAGCTCTCGCCGATCTGCGGGGGGGGGGGGGGCAGTGGTCACTGTGGGGAGGCAGGACGGCACAGATCCTCGTCGGCAAAGTGCAGCTCCTGCTTTTCCCTTTATTGCCTTTCACTTTGACTCGCTGCAGAGAGCAAGAGTCCCGCCCACGCTTTTTGACTAATGAAGACGCTTCGCCAATGAAAAAACAGCGAGAGAAAAATACTCCTGATCTCCGGGAAACAATTACACTTGTGTGCTCGCTTACTTGCTTATATCAATTTCGCGAGAAGAAGGCATGTGGGATTCGGGTAATCAGCGGGATTTTTTTTTGCAAATGCCAGAGCAGAGCATGCTGCAGCAGGAATATGGCACCGGTTTAAAAAGGTCCCCCACAAAAAGAAACATTCCAATCTGATATGATCATATGTGACCAAAGCCTGAATCTGTCTGAACGGGGCTCCAAAAGGAATCCATGATGATTCCCTAATTTCGTTAGCCTAAAGTGCAAGAGTGCAAACATGACTAATTAATCAAAATATGCCCACAGCTTGCAGTTTTAGGCCATTCTGAAATCTGCCCGAGAGCCAAAACAGTTTTAATAGTATGCAAACAAGCCTGAACACAACTCAAGATCAAATAAGAATTGCTGCAGAATCCACTCTTATTGCACAAAAATTCTAACAATTCACATGTGTTCACTTTATAGCTGATACAATGAAAGCCAGGGGTTGCAACCTGGTGTCTGGATGCATGTCAGGAGGCAGGGGGGGGGGGTTTAATGGGCTCCTGGACATCCAAAGGTTCCCATGAGGAGCCGAGGAACAAGTGTGACCATCCCCGAAGACAGAGGTGGGAAGGAAACGACAGCTCCAGGCAGGAATTGTTTTCCAAACCCATCGCGAGGATTTCACACATGGTTTTAACATTCTGCTGGGTGGTTTCTCTTTTTTTTTTTTCCTTCCACACCACTCCCTTTCCCAATCAAATAGCTGACCTGGCTGTACCACCTGAGAAAAGACACGGGGCTAAAAAATACGTGCTAAGCAGCAGCAGCCCTTAGCCCCCATAGGCCCAAACCCGGAATGACACATCCGTAAACTTAATTGTCTTAGCAAGGAATTAGACGGATAACTAATTTTCATGGGACAGATGAACAATCAAGCACTGTTGTCTTTTGCCCGTGCCGTAATTACTCGTGCTTTTCATCTAAATGAGTCGCACGGTAACGTTAGACTGGGATCCTCGTTGCTGATTCAGCGTTTCAGTGGGAACCGTGCAGGCACATTCCTAATCCCCGCGGAGCCATCGATGCCTCTCTGAACTCTAAACCTTGAAGGACTGAACGCTCTTGTGTGACATACATTCTCCTACACCGCTCGCTTATAATTCGGAGCAGAACCATACAAAGCCAATTACCATGAGGATGAGGGTAAAGAATCAATCCCCTGTGTCTCGAAGGTCAGTTCCTCGTCATTTCATTAGATCTTTGGGAGCAAAATTCAACTCATGCACCTTTTTTAACAGCGAGAATTTATTGACCAAGTGGGTTCAGCAAGAACGGCGCGGGGGTGCTGACACAGATCTGTAATGCAGAGGAGCACGTTCCCATTTGTGTTTATCTCTGGGGCATTGTATTGCTTTCCATTCTGTTCTTTGTATCATTTATAACGCCCAGTTGCGTGCACTGTTAGATTTAACAAGGTCACCGGCTCTTGCTTTAGAATCCCATCTACCTGTTATGATTCCAAACAACAAAATGGCTTCAGGTGGTTTCAAATTTAAGCCCCAAAAAGTAAGAAGGAAAATAAAGAGAGAAGATCAAGGTTAAGATGCTTTTCCTTACTGTGCATTAACTCATCACTGAAGGCACTTCATTCTCCACACAGATCAAAAAGCCACTTCTAAACCACACAACATAACAGGATGGAACTGAGTGTCAGAAAACATCATGAATCCTTTATGTAAAAGATTAAGCTTGTGACTAAACATGTGATCAAAAAGTGTACTAATTATTTTCTTATAGTCAAACAATACATAGTAGCCTATACAAAAAAACTCAGTTGAAAATGTTTAAAATCTCAGAGAGATGGAATTTGAAGATCCACACATGCTTCTTTTCTGCCGGGACTCCTCTGGGAAATAACAGCTGCTCTCTCAAGCTTTGTAAAGTCTGAAATTGAAGCGTGCACAGAGTGTTATGTTCTCCTCGATTTTTTTTCTCAAGAGCACTGTTTGCTATGGATGGTGAAAGGTAATACAATTCCATCTGTTTCTGACCTTATTCATTGGACACCTCAAGTCGGAACTCTATGAAAATATCAATCAGCTAACAGGACTGGAGACATCCACTATGCCAGGATGACCATTTCCCAAATAAAGTCTGACAGATTTTGTAGAATTAATTCGAGCTGTACAGTCAGCAAGCCGAAGAGTGGATGAAAAAAAACTATTTCACGCAAAGAAAAATATAGAATATTAATTCGAATAGTTTCTGACTTAAATCTCTCAAAGCTCAAATTGTTAATGTGATGGCTCATCAGTTTGAATTTGCACTTTCTCTGTATTTGTTACTCTTAAATTAGTGATATCATTTCTGGTAACCGAATTCAGCTTGAGGCAAATTGAAATAAAAAACAAATTCAAAACAGCACAACATCTTAAGAGGCTGTAATGACTTAAAAGCAGAAACGTGATTCTCTAACCCTGAATTTTGTATTTTCTTAATCTTACAACTCAAAGTTAGATTTATTTTAAGAACTACTAACCCATGGCTAATTTTCTGCTGTCTATGACTGTTAAAAAAGAAAGTAAATTATCTTAAAACCTTATGTATAAAAAAAACGTCTGTTTCTTGCCAATCTTGGCTATAAAATTGGGTCAATTAAACCTCAGAAGAGAAGTGATCAACACTTGGCATACTGCCCTACAGAGGTGTTGTTTATCTAACAAACTAATGTATTCTCCATTTGTATTGTTCACCTCTTGATTTCCCTTTTTTATATGCTTTGCCTTTGTAATTCTTGCTTTTGTTTTGCCTGTGTCTGTCTTCTTCGTGTAGGTTTTCCACAGCCCTGTAGTCATGTCCTGCTCATAGTTACGTTTCTAGTGTCCTCTGTTCTGAATTCTCATCAGTATTTGTCCTCAGCTCTCTCCTGTCACAGCCACCGTCACTCACTCATTGTTACTTTCACTTTGATCACATTTGTAATCCTGTCCCCCATTTGCTCTCATCTGGTTTGCTCACTATTTTTGGTCCCTTTCTCACAGTTTAGTTTGTGCTTTCCCAGCTGGAGTTTATTTCTGGTTTGTTTATCCTCACTTTGGTTCTGCTGCGTCCCTCACTGGGACCAGCACAACCTTCTGAATCACATCATGTCATGTGAAACTGGAGAGACAGCGTGTGAGAAAAAACCGAAGTGCGACAGGAAGTGTCAGCACCCTCGCAAGGGATTTTAAGAAAATGTGAGCAATGCTTTAAAAAAATTTTAGAAAAAATGTTTAAAAAATGTATTCATTAATTCATTCATTTAATTCAAATTTGATCATTTTTTGAGACAAATCATTATCCGGTTAGAATGGGAGGATCAGGAATTAATAGGCTGCATATAGAGCCAGCAGATAACATGTATGATTACTTTTTCCCTCCGGTAACCCAAGTAAACACAAAGCTATATTTCTTTAAATGGAGAAGTTATCCAGACAACTTGAGAATCTGAAACAGGCTCGAGGACGACCATCTTCTCATCCAAGCTCCATTCACCCACCGCAACACTTTAGACCGTGGAAAATAAAACTCTGCAAACAGCGAGGCAAAACCTTGGAGAGGATTTGAATACACAAGTAAACCTGCGAATTCTCCCACCGAGCAGATACGCATAAATATCTATAAAAATTACCTAAAGGACCTATCATTCAAAATGCCCTCCGATTTCAAACCACCAGAATAATATTTTCAGTTTTACCTGAAAAAGCGTTTGAGCTTGAGTGAAAATTTTCATGTAGAAGTGCTCACAAGGATACCTCGCGGAGCTCCACAATGAGCTTTTGTGTTTCTCCCATCAAAGAATGACTCGGCTGAACTTTACTCCGGCTCATTAGCTGAAAAGTGAAATGTTAACAAACACGGTGACACCACGGACCTCCACCTTATTTTGCACTGCGACTTCTATTGAGAGACGAGTCCCCCTTTTGGAGACGTGTGGTGATTACCGTATCATCGCTGTGGAGAGCTGTAATAACCGAATCAACGCTGACCTTTTTTGTGGTAACTTCACAAACGTATGAAGTTTTGAAGGACAGGCCCCGGCCCCTGTGGGACGGACTCAGAGTGGAGCTCCACTCCTCATCTCCCCATCAGTGACAGAGCTAACAACACCTAGAGCCCCATTCAGAGGCAAGCGCTTTGTGTTACGGGCTCACGGCCATGATAGCCCTCGGCAGCTGGTGTTCTCACAGACCACTGCATGGAAAATGGGCCGATTTCAGGATTTAGCTGCCCGCGGTGGATTTTTTTTTTTACTCGCCGATTATTAAGGAGCAGACTCACTCCGCTGCGGAGCTGCACCAGATTAAGACGAAAGGCTTTAAAACTCCCAGAATGAACGTTGTTGACATGCTCATCAAGGTTGCTGTTAGTTGAATGTTTTGTTTTTTTGAAGAACCACTGCGTTGGTGGAGAATAATGCCTTAGTATTTGCAAAGATCTGAGAGTGTACGGTTATGCAGTTATGACAGTTTTGATTTTTTCTCTTTTTTGGTGGGAAAAAAACAGCGTGTCAGTTCACACATTCATACGAGTGAGTCACATTTACCGTAGGAGGTCAACATTTACCAGCTGTACCATCAGCCAATAGGGGGCCGGCGGTGTGATTCTATGTGTCAAACCTCCGTCATACATTTATGTTTACGTATGAGGCCTGAACACCTCTTTCGATCACTCAAGTAAAAGAAAACTTTGATACTCTGATTGTTGTGTTGTGTGCAGAATGATGATGCCAGTGTCTCAGAGCTCATCAGCACTCTCAGTGCCTCCTTTGCTTATCTTTGCATAACTAAACATCCTGGTCATGTATCCTTTCTCCTCCTGACCATCTGTTCCCTGCTGCCAATCTTTCTGAACGTGCCAGCTTCTGCCCGTACATCCTCCCCCCCCGCCGAGCAAATCTTGGTATTGATATCATATTCTCCCTCTCTTCTTCCCTCCGTTTCTGTCACTGTTCCCTCTCACTTAATCTCTCATTCTCCGAAACACACAAAAACAGGGGAGGCACACACACGTCTCCGCCCGGGCGCCACTCTCAGATGTGACAGATTGACAAAACAATGAAACAGATGTCCTCGTAAAATGTCCTAATACGTTTGTCTGCATAATGAACATGTATTAGTTCTTCCATATCCAGCAGAGCTTCAGGTGTTCGGTATTTGGTAGAAAGTATAAACTGTGGTGGTGGACAAACTACAAAAGAGGAGACAAGACGCAAAGATTCGGAGAAACAACAGCATCAACAGGACGGAGCACAGGGAGCATGGACTGAGAGCAGCTGGGTCGTTTTAGTTTTGACTGATTCATCGTTCAAAAATCCAGATTTCCGTGTGTTGTTTGTTATTTTTTCATTGTACCATAAAGTATTTATATTGTCGAGCAGTGTTGGGAAGTTCTGTTAGCAGTCAAAGTAAAAAAAAACAAAAACACCATCTCATGCTTTGTTCCATGTGGTGTCATTTAAGCAGGAATTTGTGTTTCTTGCACAGATAAACAAGACAGTGTGTGGTCATATTCAAAACATGAACATTAAAAGCTCCACTGCTGGCTTTAAAGGAATTACTAATACACTCTTTGAAAACCTGCAAAACTGCTGTAAATCATCTCAACCCAAATAGAGTGATCCAGTTTGGGGCAGTAATGTACTGAGGTCAATACATTTAACGTTGGTCTGCTTACGAAGTATCATGCTGAACGCTGGTGTTTGCTCATTTTCTTCCTTGGGTTTGCTGAATTTAACCATCAGAGATTTAATAGTTACTTAAAAAGGAAGAAACTAAACTTTAAAAAGTTTTGTTTTTGAGTTTGAAAATACTGGAATTCCATCATTACATTATGCATAACTGATACATAATTCATCTGAAAAAATGAAAATTTCATCAAGGAAACATGATGACTGAGGTATACGCAATTACGGGCTTTGCTCACATCAAAGTAAAATAAACTGGTATAAATAAGTGATGGTATATAAGGGGGCACGTTCAGCCTGATAGAAGCTCCGCGAGAACCCAGCTTTATAATGATGTTTTTGGTCAAGTGAACTACCCCGCTGACAATTCACCAGTCGGCTGATGTTAGAATGTTTACAATTAGCCAGAATTTTTAAGTGTACTGGTGTTTTTTTTGTGTGTTTTTTGCTGCTTCAGATTTTACTTTCACCACAAAAACGACACAGTACTGTCAGCACTCAGGGAGAAAGCACTCCTCTTCTTGGCATCAACCTTTGAGGGAATTTAACTTAATCATGAAGGTATTTATCCCCTCAAAATGTATCTTTTTGTGCAAAATTGAATGTAATCAATTAATCATTAAATTCATATTGATATTATGTGCACAATCACTTTACTACATCTTATTTCAACACTACTCTCAATGTTCCATTTACAACTTCACTTTTTTTTCCTTTACTTTGACAAAGACATCTGGTTTGGAGGTGAATTAGCCTCTAAAGCTAATGGCTAATTCACCTCTAGAGTCTATTAGTGTAGGGCACTACCTGCTGTTTCTCAAACTGTGCTGCTAATTTTAAATGTCTAGTCTCTGTAAAACAAGGTGAACCACCAAAACGAAATGGCGCATAATATATTGCTTGTTATCTACATGTATAGAGATTTTTTTTCTTTTCTTTGTTTTTTCTTCCATGTTCAGTCACCAAAAAAGTAAAATCAGATTTAGAGATAGTATCAGTTTCTCCGAGGTATGACAAATTCCTCTGTAATTTCTTAATTGCTCTGATTTATCTCCATCACTTGATGGACATTCTGAATTTGTTAAGCCTGTTATTTAAGGAAATTAATTTAAAACATATCATGTATTACTTTTGTTGTTTGGTTTTTGACAGATTTCCCTGAAAGTAATGTTAACATGTCATGGATCCAATCATTTCTCCTATTGTAACCTTTTAAAATTGGAGAAAAATTTGCCTGACAAAAAGAGCATATATTTAACGGGGTGAGGCAAAAAAAAACAAACGGCTAATTGACCGGCGGTTAACCCTTTATCTCCATATTCCCAGTCTTTTTGCATGAAGGGTAAGATTCATGGTTTCGACCATTACGATCCAAAAATCTTTTGTTTTCTGTAAAATATGCAGCCGTGAGCAATTTCCTTATGATATCTTCTAATTTCAGGAAATGAATTTCTTTATGGAAATCAAATGCACCCTGCATCACTTTGAATGCTAAATACCAGGCACCACAAAGCACAATAAATCTAATAGTCTCGTTCAACACTGTGGCTGAGTCGTTGGAGGGCTGGTTACAGGAGCTAAATCTCCAGCCTTTCCCCCAATCAATTAGATCTGTGAAATCCATTTCTCTTTGCATGTTTGCTCTTGTTTGCAATAATTACAACCTCCACCCCAAACAGGCATGATAAACACCTCCTGATTTAGAAGTGTTTGTTCAGATCGGCGGGACCTGCTGCTTGTCTTGCTGTTTATAAACCGTGGAAATCTACAGGGATTATACAGGCTCATCGCCATCTGTGGCACTGCTCCAAAACAGGTCTGCAATGAGACGAGCCCCATTAGGGCGCCGGGAGAGGGAGGCCTGGGCAGACCTACACATAATGGGCTGCCCCCCCCCTCATCTGCAGAATAAGTCATTGCCATTGTGGTTTGTTAATTGCGATTCACAAAGGTGCACAAAAACATGCAAATCCACACACAATCCTTATGGCTTTTTTTACATTTCTGGCAAACACAATGACAATCATGCTGAGTTTCTCAGAATTTGACCAAAAATGAGTCTTTCTGCTGGTGGAAACGTGACCCAGGAACCTTTCAGTGGATATTTCCTGAATCCCAATGCTTCGTATGACTTGAAGATCTTTGTGTTGTGATTTCTGAGAGACGATTTTTGACATTTACTAAATAACTTGATTGACTATGAATTGACAGCTGTCTCAGATCAGACTCCACATGACTGACAGACTCTTTCTGCACATCTGAAACTGACAGCACGTTCTAGTTAGGGACATTTTGAATATTGACAGTCACTCGAGCTATATCAAGCTCCAAGCTAGCCTTTGAAATAAAACTCTGGATTGTTTTATCCACAGATTGAGGTTTGGTCGAGATAAAGCACATAGATATACTATTAATATGTGGGCTCAAATTCACAAATGCAGCCATATCTAACCTGCATAATAATGAAATGCAAATGTAACATTAAATGCACTCAGATGTTCCTCTGATCTCTAACTAGCAGGCTGTTTCAGAATGAACAGATTTCCAGTTCTAACAGCTCAGAACAAAATTAAAGAAAAGAGTAGGCAAAATAAATCAGTCAATTCAACTGTGAGTTCAAAGCCGCCATAAAAGTGAAGACAGAGCCATGAGACAAACTTTTCAAGTACACTCAGCCACGCTGAAATACATTTGCAAATGCTTCTCATTTACAGCTGTCTCGATTTGAATGTTCTAAAGCACTTTAGAGACTTTTTTTCTATCTTCAATAGTGAAGTTAATTCCCTAAACTTTATAAGTCCTGTTCATTCTTCCATGCCTCAGGAATAAATTACACTGTCCATTTGAAGACAGCATGTTAAAAGAAGACACAAGATTAGATAAGTTATATCAACAGATTTGGACTTTGCTGTATTTTCTAAATTGATGTGGAAATAGTCTAAACTGAACTCTAAGAGGTTTGTGTTTAATGTACATCCCTTATCTTTCAGCCATAGTAACAGTGGCTTGCAAATATTTGGGCTAAACATTCTGTCATGGTGCTTAGATTTAGTAGCATAAAGTAAAAAATACATTCTTATTCATCAGTTAAGTAAAAAATTGTTTAATGTTTCAATTTGGGGAAAAAGCACCCTGCAAAGGTTTTGACATATTAAGACATTTGAGTTATCTAAATAAAATAGTCTCATGATCTCAGTTGAACTGTCACTGCTATGATTAGCTTGTATTCAGAAACCACAGACTAGTCAACATAACAAAAAACCCTAAATAACACATAACACAAATAATACATAACACAATGTATTGGAATGAGAACAAAAGAAAAAATTGTTGTGTTGCTGCTCCTCAGTTTGCATCAGCTGGATGGAGATCAGGAAGAAAGGCTGGGGAATACTCACACAGAAAAATGCTCAGATGAGGAAATACACGTTTAAAGAATGAAAAAGGTGTCAAATTTATTTTAAAGAGGCTTCTGCAAGCTCCTAAGCACAGTGGTAGACTGTTCAGTACATGCAAAGCTTCCACACTCTTCCCAGAAATGGAACATTTC